TGGGCCCAGTTACTTTTTTTTTCTTTCTTTTCTTTTTTTTTTTTTTTTTTTTTTTTGAGATGGAGTCTTGCCTTGTTGCCCAGGCTAGTGTGCAATGGAGTGATCTCGGCTCACTGCAACCTCTGCCTCTGGGGTTCAAACAATTCTCCTACCTCAGCCTCCCAAGTAGCTGGGATTACAGGTGCCCACCACCGCACCCAGGTAATTTTTGTGTTTTTTTAGTAGAGATGGGGTTTCGCCATGTTGGCCAGGCTGGTCTCTAACTCCTGACCTCAGGTGATCCGCCTGCCTTGGCCTCCTAAAGTGCTGGGATTACAGGCACTTATTATTATTATTTTTTTAAATAAAAAGCAAGTTTCTTTTTGTTATTGTGGTGATTGTTGTTTTTAATCTCCAAAGTGTTTTTGAACCCCATCATTCTGTGGTTCTATGGCTTTACTGCCATGCCAAGCAAGTCTCAGAATGTTGGCACGCTGACCATTACTGCTTCCCTCCCTGCCCTCCATTCTTTTTTAAAGGCTGACCAGAGATACCCATGCTGGTCCTGTGCTGGGCTAGAACACTCTCTCCTCGTAATATTCCAAAGAGATAGACATTATTTTGATTTTATGGATAAAGACTCATCCAAGTAAACACACACCAGAAATCCACACTGTGAATTCTAATTGAGGCTTACCTCTAAAATCTAGGTTGTTCATGAATATGCGACATGGCTTCTCTACTTTATGTTGGTTTCTACTGGCCACTGGCAAATTCTGCTCTTTCTTGGGGCTGGTAGGGTGGTGGGAATGGTATCTGAAGTGGAAAGAAGGCACGAGGTTTAGACCCATGCACCACGGAGGCCCTTGGAAGGAGTCAAATTGCACTGGCCTTATGGCTTCACTCTTTTCCAACTACTGCTCCAAGTGGGGCAACAAATGCAGATTTTCCCGCTAAGAACTTGCGGAGAATCCCAACAGGTTATACTTCTTTTTGACGCATAGAGTTTTATGTGCCAGCAGCTGCCATAACACAAACACAGTCCTTTACTAACTCTGCTCTCCTAGGTCGCTTTTCCTGCCACGTGGCCTCCCTGCCCACGTCCCCTGGGAGGTGGCCGGGAAGCTGAGATGGGGGCGGCTGCAGTTGCTGCCTCTGGCTGACGTTCAGCTGGAGCAGGCAGGGTTGTTCAAACTTGGAAGAATCACCGCTATGATTATTTGGGTTTGTGGTGGGGAAGCGGAGGGCAGTCCCTTTTACATTCCAGCCATCCACCCCCTGAAATCTTTCAATCATTCATTCAAAAACTATTTAACATGGTCCTTTTCTGTGTCAGGCACTGTTCTAGGCACTAGAGATCCAGTGGTGAGCAAAAGAGGCATGTTCCCTGCTCCCAGAAAATTAACGTTTTAATTGAAGGGTTGAGGGGGATTTGAAGTTAAGCAATCAGACAAATAAATGCATAATATAATGCGAGGGAGTGCTGAGTGTCTCAAAGAAAATAATGATATGGAGCCAAAGAGTGACAGAAATGCTATTTTAAGCTGGGTGTCAGGAGAGGTCTCCCTGAGGAAATGACAGACACTTAGATGTAGTCAAGGAGGAAGCTGTGGAAATCTCTGGGGGCGAGTGGCCCCAAAGAGGGAGGAGAAAGTGCTGGGTTCTGAGATAAGAAGGTGCATGGCACTTCGGATGAGCAGTAGGAAGCCAGGGTACCTGGAGGACAAGGAGCAAAACAGATGTAACATGGAGTTGCAGGGGCAACACAGACCATGTAAGCGCTTAGGAATTTTTTTTTTTTTTTTTGAGATAAAATCTCACTGTCACCCAGGCTGAGTGCAGTGGCATGAATTACGGCTCACTGAAGCCTTTTCTCCCGGACTCAAGCCTCCCACCTCAGTCTCCCAAATAGCTTGGACCACAGCTGCACACCACCACTCCTGGCTAATTTTGTCCTTTTTGTAGAGACTAGATCTTGCTATGTTTCCTGGACTGGTCTTGAACTCCTGGATTCAAGGAATCCTCCTGCCTCGGCCTCCTAAGGTGCTGGGATTACAGACATGAGCCACCATGCCTGGCTGGAATTTTATTTTAAATATGACGTGAAGCTGTTGGAACATTTTGAAAAGGGAAATGACACAATGAGATTTATGTTTAAAATGATCTCCATGGCCATGGAGAGTGTAAGGAGCTTAGGGAAGGAGCAGGGAGATCCATCAGGAGGTCATTACAAAAGTCCAAGCCAAAAGTGAGGGTGGCTCAGGCTCATGATGGGTCCAGGTGGACAGAGGTAGCAGGATTCGGGATTTTTACAAAGATAGAACCAATAACATTTGCTGATAGATTGGATGTAGGATGTGTGAGAAAGACAGCAGTTAAGGATGACCCTCAGGTTTTTGGTTCTAAGGGTTGAAAACTGTAATAGGCTGAATAATGGCTACACAAAGAGATTCTGTCGTAACCCCTGGAACTTGTAACATTTGAAAAAAAGAGTGAATTTTACCTTATATGGTAACAAATCTCATTAAATATTTTAGGGTTATTCCAGATTATCCAGATGGGACCAGGATGCCATTTAGTGCCTCTATATGAGAGAGGCGAAAGGGGGCTGGGTACGGTGGCTCATGCCTCTAATCCCAGCACTTTGGGAGGCCAAGGTGGGAGGATCATGAGGTCAGGAGATCGAGACCATCTTGGCTAAGACAGTGAAACTCTGTCTCTACTAAAAATACGAAAAATAAGCAGGGCGTGGTGGCGGGCGCCTGTAGTCCCAGCTACTTGGGAGGCTGAGGCAGGAGAATGGCGTGAACCCGGGAGGCGGAGCTTGCAGTGAATGGAGACCGCACCACTGCACTACTCCAGCCTGGGCGACAGAGTGAGACTCCGTCTCAAAATAAAAATGAATAAATAAATAAATAAATAAATAAATAAATAAATGGGAGATGACACACACCTGAAGCAGGATGCCATGTGAAGGGGAAGGCAGGATTTGGAGCGACGCAGCCACAGCCGGGGAATGCCACACCAGCAGCCACTGGAAGCTGGGAGAGGCAAGGATCAGCTTCTCCCTTTGAGTTCCTAGAACAGGGGTGTCCAAACTTTTGGCTTGCCTGGGCCACATTGGAAGAATTGTCTTGGGCCACACATGAAATACACTAACATTAATGATAGCGGATGTGCTAAAAAAAATCACAGAAAAGTTTCATTATGCTTTAAGAAAGTTTACAAATTTGTGTGGGGCCGCATTCAAAGACGTTTTGGGCTGCATGGGGCCCGAGGGCCGCAGTTCGGACAAGCTTGCCCTAGAATGAGGGCAGCTATGCCAGCACTGGATTCCAACCCAGTGAAACGGGTTTTGGACTTCTGGTTCCTAGAACGAAGAGATAATACATTTCTGTTTTAAGTCATCAAATTTGTCAGAACTGCCATAGTAAAAGAACACAATGCAGGAAAAGATTCAGCAAAGGTACCTGCAGCAAGACAAAGGCCATCGGTATATTAGGCCACTCATAAATGAAATGGGACACTGAGAAGTGGGCAAGAACTGCAAAAGGCATGGGAAAAACCAGGAACTTCAGTTGGAGGAGAGGAAGGGGCAGGTAGAAAAAGCGGAAAGAGGGGGAGGAGTTGGAATAAACTGTTGTCTCTGGGCTGTGGCGCCTTGGCCAGATAAGCATCTTATCTTAGTCCTGAGACAGGCCTACAATTCAATCCAAATTGGATTTTTTTATGCATTAATTGAACTTTGCTGAAACTGTGCTTTTCTTCTTTCAAGTCTAAATTCAAGTCTTGAAATGATTCCTTGGCTTAAATTAGATGATTTTTCAGTGCTGCTTTCTTTCTACTCAAAGTTGACTTTCACTGACTGGCAATAACCAATTATTTGTGTGATTTGTTTGCATTTGGATTTAGCCTGATTTAACAGGGCAAGCAGACTAGTCTCCCTGTCTCAATCCCTGCCTGCCAACCCACCGACACCATCCTTTCTTGGAGTTCCTGTAGCCTGGAGTTTAAGGTCTTTTTATGTATTTGAGGGTACAATTTTAATAAGAAGTATTTTTTTTTTGGCTTTTTTAAAAAAAATTATTTATTTATTTATTTATTTATTTATTTATTTATTTATTTTGAGACAGGGTCTTGCCATGTTACCCAGGCTGGTCTCAAACTTCTGGGCTCAAGCAATTCTCCTGCCTCGGTCTCCCAAAGTGCTAGGATTACAGGTGTGGGCCACTGTGCCTGGCCGATAATTTCTTTAAAGTACTGCTTTTCAGTTACTTTTTTCATATCCACTTATCCTATTCGAACAGCAGTAGGTTCTCTGATTTTTAAAATAACTGTTGTGTTGAATTTCTTGAGCTCACTGAAGTCAAGGGAGTTGGGTTCATTCTGGGTGAGTCTGGGTTCAAAATCAGTGCTCCCTCCATTCCCTAGAGCCATCTACACAGGCAGAGAGCCTGCTCGATCTCGGTCAGGACGCGGTCCTAATATTTGCTGCCAAAATCCCTTCCCTTTGAATTTGCTTTTCTTAGACATCTGTTCCTTTCCCTGCTACCCTTGAGCTGTTGGCCTGTGGTGTGTGTTGAATGTATCTTTTCATGTCCTCCACATGCCCACCTCTCCCACCCCAGTTGACCAAGATCACACCAATCCCTTCTAAGTGACTGACTTTTCAGTGTATTTTAGAGGAAGGCTGGGGTGGTGGGTGGGGCACTGGGCTAGGAGTCGGGACTGTATCACACAGTGGCCTGAATTCAGATGCTGACTCTGCCACTTATTTCTGAGTGGCCTCAAACAATGTTTGTAGCCTTTCTGGTTAAAATCAGCTGTGTTTCAATTGACCTTAGCTCTGGCCTTTGCTAACATTAAATGAGTGTTGTCACCACTCTGAGCTTTAATTCCTTCACATAGAAAATAAAGAGATTGGATAGACCAGATAATTGGCACATTTCAGTTTCTTGTTTGATATAAATGAATCATCTTCTTCTTTGAAGTTCTTGTTAATCAACTTTTCCATATGCCAGAATTCATCACTCCCATTGGGACTTGTGAAAATGGGAAAACATCTGAATAATGGCTATTGCTGGGGCTTTGGAACCAGACGGACCTATCTTCTTCCTCGGCTGCATGCATATTCTGGACACCTGAACAAGGTACTTAGCACCCTAAGTGTCAGTTTCCCAGTTTGTAAATTGGGGTTAGTAACTGAACATCCCTCACAGAGTTATTGGAATGACTAAGTGAGATAATTTATGTATAGACAAAATGCCTTGCCTCTAAAAAAAATTCAGTGATGTTAAACTATTGCTTTTTTTTAATTTACTTGTTTGTTGAAATAATTTATATGTGGTGAAGTGTCCACATTTAATACACCTCAATAGATCTTTCCATCTATATATACCTATGTAACAACCCCTAGAACAAGATACAAAACATTTCTAGCACAACAGAAGGCTCACTTTTACTCCCTTTCAGTCAATATCCAACTCCCACCAAAGTAACCAATTTTCTGACCTTTATCACCATAGATTTATTTTTCCTGTTCTCATTCACATCTCTCTCTCTCTCTGTCTCTCTAATCTTTATTTATTTTTGAGACAGAGTCTCACTCAGTCACCCAGGCTGGAGTATAGTGGTACGATCTTGGCTCACTTCAACCAGCACCTCCCGAGTTCAAATGATTCTCATGCCTCAGCCTCCTGAGTAGCTGAGACCATAGGCACGTGCCACCACACCCGGCTCATTTTTGTATTTTCAGTAGAGATGGGGTTTTGCCATGTTGGCCAGGCTGGTCTTGAACTCCTGATGTCAAGTGATCGGCCCACCTCCGCCTCCTAAAGTGCTAGCATTACAGGCATGAGCCACCACACCTGGCCACTTCACATGAATACAATCATACATTTTGTGATCTTTAGAGTCTGGCTTCTCTCAATCAACACTATATTTTTAGTGAGATTCATTCATGTTGCTGCAAGTAGCAATAACATTTTGGTCTTCATTGCTGTATAACATTCCACTTACTGTGTACCACAATTTATTTATATACTGTTCTATTTATGGACATTTGAGTTGCTTCCATTTTTTTGCTGTTAAAAAATAATTTTCTATGCGCTACTTACGCATGTCTTTGGTGTATGTAAGCACTCATTTCCATTTATATATACCCAGAAGTGAAATTGCTAGGGCATAGAGTATTTGTGAGGTTAACTTTAGTGGATCCTACCACGCAGTTCTTGGCAGTACAAGCAGTGCAAGTGCTTGTAACAGTTTACATTCCTCCCAGCAGTGTGTAAGGTTTCCAGTTGCTCAGCTGCTTCACCATCACTGGGTTTTCTGAGTTCTTTTCATTTTAGTCATACTAATGGCAATAGAGTAGTATCTCACTGAGTTTTCAATTTGCATGTTCCTGATGACTAATAAGGTTGATCACTTTTTCTTGTGCTTTTTGTCCATTTTGATATCCTTACTTGTGAAGCGTCTATTCAGGTCCCTCGCACCTCAAAAATGTTAGCTATTATTTTGTATCGTACTAATTGTGCTTTTAAGTTATCTGTATAGCTATCTACTCTCCCAGTAGACTATAAGCTCTTTGATATGCAAGGTCTATGTGTCACTCATTTATGAATTCTTACTGCCTAACAAAGACTCATGTTATACATTTGTTGAGTTCATTGTCAAATGTCTAGGACTCAGCAGATCGTGGCAAAATGTCGCCATCTGGTGTCTGCAGAGAATGAGATGTGGAGGATGCAAAGCCAGCTGGCTGGATAATTCATTAGGCTTTCCACGTGAGCTTTCTCTTATGTACGATTTAAAACATAGGTATATATTGCAAATTGCCTCTGCATACTTGATTTTAAAAATATTTTCTATATGTACTTTCATTTTTAAAAACTCAATTTAAAGTGCAAACTTGTGGAACAGAAAAAGTTCCACAATGACTAAATTCTTTGCTAAACAATTTACTAAACTAAATTCTTCAGTAATTGTTCACATTTTCAAGAGTTGGATGCTGTATTCATAGATAAAACAGTTAATCAGTACTTACAATATTCTAGTCCTGAAGTTTATTCAAGAGACATGAGGTGCTCATAGGCTAGTAAGGAAGAAACAAAAAAAATCAGCCTGGAGTATTATAATAAATGCCTTAAAATAGGTATCTGTTCATTCACTCACTCACTCATCGTTCAACATATATTACTGAGCATTTATTCTGTACCAGACATTGTCACAGGTTCTATAAACCCAAATGTGTGTGTCCTGAAGTGTGACTGCTCTAAGAAAACCTATAGTAAAAAAATATATATAATTTTTCAAGGATTTGGAACTTAGGTATGTTTTCCTTTGAGTATAAACTGCTATAGACCATGGGCCATGTGAGACCCCAGCTTCTATTAGGGTTACACATAGAACAAGATGGACCTAGTTGAAAATACTTTTCCATAAATTGTTACTGAGTTGGGGAGGAGGTGGCGAACTTCACTGCTCTTCACAACTCTTTCTTCCCTCCACTCACTGCTCCTCAACGCACCACCAAGACAAATGGCAACAATGGATGGATCAGGTTTATTTGTTTGCTTTTTGAGACAGGGTCTTGCTCTGTCACCCAGGCTGGACTGCAGTGGTGTGATCACAACTCACTGTGGCTTCAACCCCAGGCTCAAGCAATCCTCCTACCTCAGCCTCCTCAGTAGCTAGGACTATAGGCATGTGCCACCATGCCCAGCTGATTAAAACAAACTTATTTTGTAGATATGGGGTGTCACCATGTTGCCTATACTGGTCTGGAACTCCTGAGCTCTAGCGCTCCTCCCACCTCAACCTCTCAAAGTGCTTGGATTATAGATGTGAGCCACCGCACCTGGCTTGAGTGTGAGCCACCGTGCCTGGCTTGAGTGTGAGCCACCGTGCCTGGCTTGAGTGTGAGCCACTGCGCCTGGCTTGAGCGTGAGCCACCGTACCTGGCTTGATCAGGTTTAGAAATTTTGTAGTGCCCATGGGTAAAGTCTCTGTCCAGGTTACAGGCTAGAGCTCACATGGGTGTGACCTCCCAGTCACTGACACATTGTTAGAGAACATAGGCTGGGGTGGTGATACCCTTCTGACAAAGGCCAGTAGTGGGTGTCTTAGGCTGGCAATATTTTAAGCACTGGGAAATATGATACCACACCTTTCCTCTTACACTTTTTTTTTTTTTTGAGACAGGGTCTCTCTTTATCACCCATGCTGGGGTACAGTGACACTATCACGGCTCATTGCAGCCTCAACCTCCCAGGCTCAAGCAATCCTCCCATCTCAGCTTCCTTAGTAGCTGGAGCCACAGGTGTGTGCCACCACATCCAGCTAATTTAAAAAATTATTTCTTAGAAACAGGGGTCCCACTATGTTGTCCAGGCTGGTCTGGAACTCCTGGGCTCAAACGATCCTCCTGCCTTGGCCTCCCAAAATGCTGGGATTACTTGGATGAGCCACTGCACCTCTGATGCTTCTTGTGAGCAGATGTATTCTGCATTTCTTCACAGCAGTTCACAAAAAGTGTCTATGATCTCATCACCCAACTTTTTTTTTTTTTTTTTTTTTTGAGACGGTCTTGCTCTCTCGCCAGGCTGGAGTGCAGTGGCGCAATCTGGGCTCACTGCAACCTCCGCCTCCCTGGTTCAAGTGATTCTCCTGCCTCAGCCTCCCAAGTAGCTGGGATTAACAGGAACGTGCCACCAAGCCCAACTAATTTTTGTATTTTTAGTAGAGACGGGGTTTCACCATGTTGGCCAGGATGGTCTTGATCTGACCTCATGATCCACCCGCCTTGGCCTCCCGAAGTGCTGGGATTACAGGCATGAGCCACCACACCTGGCCATCACCCAACTTTTACACTTTCTTCTACACTTCTTCTGACGTTACAATGCAACAAACATTTATTTATTTCCTAATATAAACCAAACATTCTGCTAGATATTGGCAAACAAAAATGAAAGACAGTGTTTGCCTTCCAAGAGAAAAGGTAACAGATGATTAACATATGTAAAAGGCTATGATATAAGTATATGAAGGAAATATAAGAACTTGCTTCTTGGATGAAGTCTTAAGAATATAAAGGAATTACCCGGCAAGAGTGGGTAAGAGTGGGGGATGGACGGTAGGAGCTGCATGAGCAAAGGGCGTGTGTGCGGAGCTGTTTGCATTCCATCTTCAACATGCTGGGGAGCCATTTTAACCCGAGAAGTAACAGATACAAATACATATTTTAAAAATTTATTGGCAACCATATGAAGGATGAATTATGGCATGGTACTATTGGAAACAATAAATCTGTTAGCATGCCATGGTAATAATTCACATGGTGAACCCTCAGTCAATGCAGTGAAAGTGAGGGATGAGAGATGAGAAGGGGCAAAGATGTGGTTCATTAAGGATAGTTTAGAATTACTATCACTGATAGGTATGAAGAGCAAGGGAAAAAGAAAAATCTGGGACAAATCACAGGTTTCTGATTTAGGTCAATGGTGGCCAGTCACTTTCAGGAAGAAGAATAGATTCTGGAATACCAGCTTTAGTGAGGGCACTAATCCCTTCCCCCCGCCCACTCCAATTTATATTCACTTCCAGAAAGGATGAATGGGATTTTGGTGTAATAAGAAGACAGGTTGACCAGGCATGGTGGCTCATGCCTGTAATTACAGCACTTTGGGAGGCTGAGGCAGGCAGATCGCTTGAGCCCATGAGTTCGAGACCAGCCTGGGCAACATGGTGAAACCCTGTCTCTACAAATAATACAGAAAATTAGCTAAGTGTGGTGGCACATGCCTGTAGTCCCAGCTATTCAGGAGGCTAAGGTGGGAGGATCGCTTGAACCCAGGAGGTGGAGGTTGCAGTGAGCCATGATTATACCCCTGCACTCCAGCCCAGATGACAGAATAAGACTCCACCTCAAATAAAACAACAACAACAAAAGGTCAAGAAATTGAGCAAGGTGCTGTATTTTTCAGTACCTCAGGCATCCTGATCACTTTTACTTACTTGTTTAGATTGCTCATGTCAGAGTGCCTTAAGGTGTATACACTGCCTCACAGCTTAGTTGCCTATGAGGGGTTTGGGTCCAAAAACCTCACTGGTTAGCAGTAAAAAGCTTTAAGAAATTTATAATTCCAGACAT